ACTCATCTCTGTGTGTTTGTGTGTGTGTGTGTGTGTGTGTGTGTGTGTTTTGGGGGGAAGTGTTAGACTTTGTTAATTAACTCCTAAATACTTGTTTGCTCTGATAAAAATACCTAAAACTTTTTACCCTGGGAAAAAAATGGAGTGTCTCATCTTCACGGAAATTAGTGTCGTGGGAAAGAAGAAGACTGAGAGAGAAAGAGAAGAAGAAAAACAGCAGATTACATTTTTAGTTATTCCCTCAACATTTAGTCTTAAATCACAAATGGAATGCAACTAAATGAAAAAGTCTCTTTACTACTTTTTGGCCATTTCAGACAAAATATTATTATATATCACCTTAAAAACTAATTTGGAAAATGTGTTTGCAGATAGTTGCTGATCTGGAACAATGTCTCTGTATGTATTTGGAGTCATATACTGATACTGTAATATTGATTAATTGATTGATTATTAAAATATTGGATGCAAAACAGTGCTTTTTGAGTTACCTGGATAAGACTCAATTACCCAGGTAACTATAAGTAGAGATACGTTTTCAATAACTAGAATATCACTCAGTAGAGCGCGTACCTCCGGCAATCAGTCTCCTCATCAAACCATTTAGATTTGGATATTTCACACACTCAGACACGTCAAATCAAGATTTTAAAAAATTGGCAGAATTAAATAATTGTTTGGCCTCCCCCTGCATGCTGCTTATGAACAAATAAGATGGTCGGTCAGATGTTAGATACTGGACTGTCAAGGTCACGGTTGAGATATCTTTAAATAAAACAGAGCTATGCTGCCACAAGCTGTGTGGAAGTTGATTTAAGGGCATTTTATGTATTTTGAAATTGTTCTAAGACTGGTGTGTTACCTCCGGAGAACATTCAATCGCAGCTTCTCTCCCAGAACAAAATATAATTTATTGTCCCGACAGTTAAGTTAAATCCACATTGCACCAGCGTGGATTAACCTCCAGACGTTCTGGCAAATCTAAACAGAGGAACAGTTCTGTGATCCCACTCATGAACACATTCCCCTCGGCTCAGGAAAACACACACAGACATGTACACACTCACATACTTGGTGGTTACACTGCAGCCGTCCTGGCAAAGAGCCACAGCCATGTAACATAACCAGGAGAGCAGAGGGAGACAAAGTACGCCCGACCCTCCTCCGTCTGTCTGACTGAGCTGCTCTTTGTGCTCGAGGAGTTGAAGGTTGTTCATAGAATATAAGTGAAATCCTTTTTCTCCCTGTTGTCTCTCACACACAAGACAAAATAGACGCCACACAAGGTCAAAGAAGACAAACACGGCTTCTGACCGATAGTGATGCCGTCCTCTTTTTGTTATTGTCAGATTTAACCGAAGTAAGAAGAGAACCGAAACTATAAACACATGTATTTTCAATAAATCACTAAGTGAAAAAACGACAGTGAACGACAGGATCATTATCCAAGGATAAGAAGATAATCGTCTTATATTTCTTGGAAATATTTCCACCACCGTATCAGACCCTGAGCAATGGCTATAAAAATGAAGGCGCACATACAAGAAGTAAATTGGTCTGAGGCACATGATATTTAATTTTGATCACTTTGCCTCGACCCAGTCCAACACACACTCTCACATCTTCACTCCAGCAATCGATTGTGCCGGGCGAGGTTCTGACGTGGTTGGTGGTTTTTCTCATTCTTAGCAGTCACAGCGAGGAGGGGTGGGGGGGGGGGCACACAGAGCCTCGTATTATTCTGGAGGAAGAGCCGAGCGTCTCTCACAAACTCTGTGTCATATAATTAAGCTGCTGCTCCTGCTTTAGGCGAATGTATGATCAATGTACGGACAGTGTGTGTTTTTTTTTTTTTTTTTTTTTTACCCGGGGTCATGAGAAGCAGAGAAAAAGTCCCAGTGTGATTCTGAACAAGTCAAACATCAGATTTATTTTCAACAGAAATCATATTAACACTTTAGATAAAAAAAAAAAAAAAAGAAAAGAGGAGCAGGATTCTCAAACCTACAAAAACAGCAACTTCATTTAGAATCAACAGAACAAATGTCTCACACAGGATCATAAGACTGATAAACAAAGATGGACGAATTGACAGTTTCCCAAAAGTGAAGCCAACATGTCACGCACCACCTAGTGGATGGCAGCACTATAGGTCATTTAGCCCTGCCTCCTCCATGTTAGTGGATGGTAGTTGTTATTATACTGACATTTGCTCAAGTGTTCATTTGTACTGTAACTGAGTTATTTGATGTTATTAAAACTGTGGCTCCAAATGAGCAAGATAGCAGCATTTGTATCTGGGATATGTTGTTGATATCTGGATGGTGAGATGAAGTAGAAGAAGACAAGTCGTCCATCTTGACACACACAGTCTTTGCTTAGTGCCGTTTTTTTAAATGTGTTGCAGTACTGACAATAAAGTACAGCGCTGCAGGGATGTAAAAAATAACTGTAGCTGGCATCTCTCTCTCTCTCTCTCTCTCTCTCTCTCTCTCTGCAGGTCTACTTAAAAGCCCCTATGATCTTGAATGGGGTGTGTGTGATGTGGAGAGGCTGGATCGACCTACAGAGGCTGGATGGGATGGGATACCTGGAGTACGATGATGAGAGGGCACAGGTAACACGTCTTCTCACATTATGTGTACGCTCAAGAGACAGAGCAAAATATACTCCACGTCATCCTGTCGCCTCGGTTTCCTCTTAACAGCTTGGTTGTTTCCAGAGCGTAACAGAAATACGTTTGTGGTTTTAAATCTCACAAACGGCCGCACCTTAGTTTCACATCTCATTGAGAAAGAACAGGTCAGTACGCCAATGTTCAGGAAAGCTCTGAGTGAGCTGGTGTGAGATTCATCACTGGAGATTTGGTCCTTGGTGCAAACCCCTGGATCATCTGGCCGCACTGGGGTGATCGTCTGCACCCGCCAGCTCATTCTTCTCAAACTCTAGAAAAGTACGATTCCAGTGTCCAAGTGTGAACGAAGATACGGAAAATGATTTAAGCTAAAAAGATCATTGGAAATGTCGACCTGGTGCATTTCCCTGTGGATTGAGCTTTTTGATGCTGTCGCATTATTTATAAAACACCTGAATCATTTAACGATCACAAAGACATGGAAATCTCACTTTGTAAAATAAATTGTGTGCTTGTATCTTTGTGTGTGTGTGTGTGTGTGTGTGTGTGCGCAGCATGAGGACGCTTTGGCTCAGGCAGCTTTCGAGGAGGCTCGACGCAGAACCAGAGACTTTGAAGACAGAGACCGATCACACAGAGAGGATCTGGAGGTGAGCGGGCCTGGGACTGTTCTCTCCTCCAAACCCAGTGGAGTGTTTCTGTGTAGCTCCAACTGAAACTGGACAGATCCGTCACGGACTTGCAAAGCCAACCTCAAACTGTATTTCAATTTTGCTGCAATATTCTGATATAGGAAAAATACACTGAGACCTGAGGAGCAGAATTTCACTTCAAGTCAAAGTGTAATGACAAAAGACTGAACTCTTCTCTCTAACCACACCCAGCAGTGACGATTCAGTGTTGCTCTGAACACACTCTGATATTCTGCATCACTGGAGGTCAAAAATAACAGGAACATGAAATGAATGAATAATTAATGCATTATTTCACATTTCTGGGACATTTTTTAAGTTTAACAAATGGGAACCGACGACAGTTCAGCTCATTTTTCATTTAAATGTAGAAATCGGTTATATAAAGTTATTCCTGTCACAAATGTCTATGAGCCTTGGCAGACCACTGTACGCAGAGGAAATTGTAGGTTTGCAGGTTGGCTTTGCAAGACTGGATTTAACCAACTGGAAATGTATTATTCTCTGATTTACAGAGAAATAAAAGAACATAGCATCACATATGCAGCTTGTCTGCAGTTTGTAACTTGCAGCCAATAAGGAAAATGGTTTTAAATGAATTTAGCTGATGGAAATATATATGGTTTAATGGTAAATATAATATATTTAAACAAGACTCAACAGTGTTTTATTAAAGCCACAGAGTCAGATTTCCAGTTTGATCTTCTTTCCTTAGTGCTTAGGGTTGTGTGATGTGTGGTTGTGTGCTTCAGTAATTAAATGGTAGGTTTAGTGCATGATCAGTTTGATGATAAATCTAATTTGATAATTGATTTGATTTCAGATTAATAAGCTACTGAATGACTGGTTCAGTTTTTGTCAGGTGTCCCAGAAGCCTCGAGGGGACGTAGTTTACTGACTTTGTGCCAGATTTAAGTGGAAAAGTGAAATAATGATTGTTCAAATGAGGAATTTGTTCTAATTTCAGTTTCTAAATTGCATGTTTGCAATGATCATTTACCAGTGATACTGTTTGCAGTGTCTTATATATAGATTCAGTAATTTACATGCTATATATACGTTTGAAATTTATAACCGTCCCATGTGCATTTCAATACTCGAGACAAACTTCCCAGCGAGGCTTCTGGGAGATCAGTGACCTCCTTCCTAAGACGACGCCCAACGAATGAACCCCAAATTGTTTATTTTTTTAGGACCCTGTGGTTTCTAAAATCTGGGACTGATGACACACAGACAGACAGACAGCCAGCAGAAAAGAACAGGGTCTGTTTCCTTCATTTCTCATCATCTGTCACACTTTCATGCACTAAACCACCCTGTGTGTGTGTGTGTGTGTGCGTGCGTGTGTGTGTCTGAGAGGGAGTGAACAAGTGTGTGTCCACCTGTTTGATTTATATGCGTACATTCTTGTGTTTGTCTATTATTTTCTGTCTGTGACCACAAGTATTTTCACAAATGAGGCGGACGTTTGTTACCGTGCGTGTGTGTGTCAGTGTGAGTGCGTGTGTTTGTACATGTTTGTGAACGTGCATGCTTTTCTAATGTATTCAATGACATAATATCCACTCACGCGTATTGTAATGCGTGTGACAGAATCAAAGGGACGAGATGATTTCATAGCTCACTTGGGCAGTTTGCACAGTTACACACACACACACACACACACACACACACACATCAAGACCTACCACAGCTTTGCAGCACATGGTCCTGCTGAAATTAGAGAGTGAAAGAAAGGCAGCACATGAAGAGCAGAGGGGGGGGGGGAGAACTTTCATCTGACTAATCTCATGTTTCCTCCCCGAGGCTCTCGGAGGAAAAAAGGAGAAAGAAAGAAAACCTTGTGTCTCCTGCTGAATCAATATTAGCGCCGCCACCGCTATCTTTTAAAAAATCACATCGCTTTATCTCACATGTAAAAATACATCAAAGGATGGAAACCACCCGTCAGTTCAGGTTGTAGTCTGGTCCCGTGCATCACAGACATGACTTAACTAAAGTTCACCTGAACGTCAAGGTACCAGAACAGGTCCATTTTTATACGTATTTGATTTCTTCATGAGATATTGAGCTATTTTGAAGGATGACTCTACAGCGCCCCCTACATGTATATTCAAGGTGTAGAAAGTCATTAAAAGTCTTTTACTTTCAGAATTTTGAGTTATGACAGATTAACTCCCCATGAGTTGAAAATAGTTTTGTTTGGCGTCATCAGAGCCAGATATTCTTAATTAAAATCCATATGTAATCTTCAATCTTAAACTGTTGTCTGACCTTTAATAAACAGAGGCCTTGAACTTGTTGTGTATTTGACCACAGAAATAAACAATGACAAAATAATCAGCAGAAATATTCATGTTGTCTTGCAGATAGTTAGACGTGTTACTGTGATATTTGTCTCATGAGGAGAAGCTTCTTTGGGTGTGACTGACGATCTTCGCTAAATTACTGCTCAGATTCAGCCTCAGCATTTCTGTGGTCTGAGCTCCATCTCTCCTCCTGCCTCTCCTTCTCCCTGACTCTCTTCATCTATCTATTTATCTCTCCATAATTCAGAGGAGCAGCGAACATCCTCTGTCTGTTTGATAGAAGTCACAACTCACGACCAAATCTGCGTCGTCTTCGTTCCATCAGTTATTTTCCTACTCTACAGTTTAAATGTGTCACATGTGATCTGTTATAAATTAAATATAATAATCAGGTTGAGAAGAAGAAATGCAGCAAAAATAGCAGAGACAGTAAGATGATTTTTCTTTATATTTCAAAAAATACTATAGCATCATCATTTTAGTTTAGTTTATTCTTCTGCACATAAAAGGCTTTCACTGATATACAGCTTGCGGAGTCTCATATTCAGATTTAACATTTTCGAGCTGACATTTGTGTAGCAACACTTAGAGGTCATGATTTAGCAGCCAACAACCGTTGTCTATAAAAAGGTATAGTGCCGTATAATGGCGTCCTGCAGTAACAGAAGTCACACTTCCTCTGCGTGTGTAGTACTGATCTGCACGTCAATCTACACGTCCTGTTCATTGACCCGTGACTTGGGCAGGTTTGAGTCAGCTTTCTAGAAAACAATGAGGTTTGCTTTCAAAGTATGCAATAGGCTGAACTGCATGCAACAGTGATAACTAGTCCCCTCAAAGGACTTATTCAGAGAAGAATTATAAATGGGCAAGAATGCAAAGTGAACCATAGAAGTGAGTTATGTGAGAGATGCATGTGTTGTGAGGCATTGCACAAATGTGATGGTGGGCGGAGAAGTGGACTCTGACACAAATTTGCAAATGAGACCCGACATTTTCCGGTCTGCATGGTCGGCACCTGGACCTTTTTTTGGTGATGCATTTGATTCTTATGTAAATAAAGATGGACGATGTGTCTCTACTTCCTCCCGCTGCACAAACGTGAAGCAAAATGGCTTCACACTAATCAAGGAGTGGATCCGCAGAATCAAGGTCCCGGCAATACACGTGTTTGACCAATCACGAGTCAGCTGTCGATTAGGTTTCAGAATCACATAACAAACCATAAATACACAGAAAACACTTGAACCGACGTCAGTGGATAAGAAGGAAATGATGGAAAAAATGTATTTGACGAATATTTAGCTTTTTGTTTTGGCCCATTCACTAACATGGAGGAGACACAATTTAATTTACTTTTACGTCAAAGCATTTTATTTTGTTCCGAGATGCTGTTGCTTGTGCGACCCCTAGTGGCAGGGAATATTGTGTATTGATAACCTCGCTCTCTAATCCACATTTAAAACACTGATAGGAAGATTCCATCACTCTTGACATGTAGTGGCTCATGTAGGTTTTCTTTAAGATATATTTATGTTATTTTTTCCGTGTGGCTGTTGAATGAATATAAAGATGTTTCCCTCTCGATTCCTGAAGCCTTGTCATTGTGGCAGATAGAACATTTTTCATCCAAAAGCAGCAGATATTCCAGTCACTGAAGGTCAGAAGGTGCCTGTCAGAGTGATGGATGGAAAAGCGATAGATCAAGAAGAAATGTGCCTTTTAACTCTCTCTCTCTCTCACACACACACATGCACACACACACACACACACACACACACA